TTGGATAGGTTAAAATGTAGCTTTTGATTTATTTTTATACCATGTAGATCACTGACAAAAAGGAAATTAAAGTTTCACATTCCCCTCTATAGAATGTTATTATTTCAAGGAAGTTATAAAGCACATCTTGTGTTATTTGAAACGAAACAACTTTTAGGAAATACTGTTACTTTAACAAATCAAATAATCTTCTATGCATTTCATTTCATTTAACCGTTAGAAAAAATACATCATTGAAGGTGAATTGACTCACACTAAGATATTGTAATAAATAATTCATGTTATACTCACTTATAAGTAAATGATGTCGCAATGGGTACATACATAGCAGGAAAATCATGGGTGAAGTTGAAAAATGCTTAAGGAGATATCATTTTATTACTGATCTAGAAAAGTTTCAAATTTTAATGTCATCATTTTTGTCCATCTCACAATTAATTCCAATCCACACTAACAATACTGTGGGAAAATTAAAGTGTAAAGTATCAGTCAAGTTAGTAAGAACATGCCTTGTTTTTTTTCCAATGTAGGCAGATGATTTGAGAAAAGATATAAGTACATTTTCAACTATTATTGTTATTTTAGCACATAGTAAAGTAGTGAACTAAAACAGTTTACACTAAACCATAGACAAAAGACGGTGATGTGTTGCCACATATATGAAGTGCAAATATAAACGTCCTAGTGACTGGAACTCGTTTCCAAAGCAGTCATCTGAAATAGCAACATATGATAGATGAAACTAGTAAAGGATTAATATAAAAGTCAATATATGCATCATAACTGAAGTTACTATCTAAAATGGGACCAATGGATTAAGTTATTACTCATAAGTGAGAAATACTGATGAAAATAATTGTTCCTAATATATATGGTAAGTAGATGAAAATATATTTTGTCATCAATTAACCTTACCAACCCTGCTAAGTTTCCAAAGGGGACAGGTGAATTTTCACTTTTTTGATTTTTTATTTCTTGGCGTTCCTAGTGGAACATAGGACTTCAAGTTTGAGGCTTGAAGTTTCGGTAGCAATGGTGTTTATTTTTACGGGATAGGGTTGCTAGCCTCATGCCACACCTTCCCTCTTTACCAGTCTTATTACTGCCTCAGCGAGGTAAGAGAGTTTGGCGGCCGGGGATCGAACCCCGAACCACCTGGATGGTTGGCAAGCATCCTACCGCTTTGCCACCGACGCCATTTTCATCTTGAACGGTGGAAATCACGAATTAATTTGCAAACTGCAAATTTAATTTAATCCTACCAAGTGATTCTTCAGTTTTTACAGTTTGAATTATGACTTCTGCTTCGAAATAGGTAATAGTTATTCTTCTTCATTTCTTATTGATTTTCTACAGTGCATGTATCTTAATGTAATACCTACTCAGAGAATATGGAAATTTACAAATATCCAGGAGTTAAAATTAGTATAATATTATCTGAGGCTAGACAGAGTTAACTAGAAGGTATTTCATTGTTCAGTGATCATTGTGTATATTCCCTGCGTTGTCTAGTGATAATATAATAAAAATCAATATCCAACATATCTTGTTTAAACACTGAATCACTTGTGTTTATTCAGGTAAATAGTATACTCAGTAAGGGATAAAAAATAGTTTTCTTTCATTAGTTGGGGGATTTCATCATGAGCTGACACCAGTTAGAGAACCATTGGAAAACCTGCAGGGAGTACTGGACAGCTCATTCGTCTTAGTTTGGGACTCTTCATCAGTACGCATCCACCGACAGGGTTCGAACCCAGGACCTTCTGGTTACAAGGCGAGCTCGTAGACCATTGAGCCACCCGATCCAATGGGCAGCCCATGAATTCTAACTTCCGCCAATTCTTGACATAGCGCGACCATTTCGCAATGTCGTCTTCGGTGAGTTACTGCCTCATCTTCAACCTGCTGCACCCTACTGATCACAGCTAATGATGAAGTCCTCCAACTAATGAAACAATAATCCCTACAAAACCAATACTTGACAATAGTTTTCTCTATTATTTATCCTAATTTTGTGGTACTGAATGACAGTGTCATATAGTAGATAGGACAGTCGTTATGTGGCATATACTACTTATAAATCGACATAAGTAATAAAACATGCACAATACAGAATGAATGTGATATCATTTGCAAATTATGAAGTCAATGTGTAGTTTTTGATTTTCTTAATGGCTACTGTATTTTTTTCCTTAGTGTACACCAGATTTAACCTCACCAGTTTTTATCCCCTTCAGTGTGAATCACTGGTATAACGTTAGTATGATAGAAAAAGCACAATGCATACAATTACCTTGAGGGCATATATACTAATACACATGTAGATTCATCCCGTTTTAGTGCTACATTTTCTCATGAATTTTCCTTTAGAAATTCTTGTTTGGAAGAACTAATGCAATACACAAGTTAACACTGTGTTATTTTAATCTAATTTTTTCTAGACATTTCCAATCAAATTATCACCCAAAAATCAATATGAGTATTAAATTAGGAAAATTCAGCGTAATTTATGCCTTTCAACTGAAAACTTTTCTGTTTGGCGGCTGTTTTTTTTCTTTGTTTTGTGTCTTAAAAAGCAAAAATTTTACACGTTTCCTTTCACTACTGTAAACAGTTGCTTAACTCCCCTAAAATGTACACCATCGATCATGCATACTGGGAGACTGGAGACCTATTTACTTAGTGATCAGAATGTCAACTTTAAAATACGCGGGTATTATAGTATAACAGTTGATACTTTATATGATTTAAGAATTAAAAAGCATTGATATTTATTTCCTTTTTCTGTGCAACCTGTTCAGTATCACAATGAAAAGACTAAGGGAACTAACAGTTAGTCATAACTGTCAAGTAATCTTAGAGAATTCGATACTTAGTTATGCAATGAACACGCCAATCCAAAAATTTTTAGTAATGATAAAGAATTCATCAAAACTGGGTATCACAAATAACTTTGTACAGGTGGCGAAGCAAATTCGTCCTTTAATAATAATGCTCAGAAACTCAAAATATTGATTTTTCTGAGAAGTGATTAATGTTTTCCATACAAAATTCATAAGGATGAAGAACGCATTATTTCAGTAGTTTTGACAAAGTGACTTCAAAGGAAACAGCTTATAAAACATGGCGTCAATTCTAAATTTTCTCCAAAGTCATAAGTTTTATTCAAAATCTTCAACGTAACACATACTACTGATTAATACAAGCAACTGGAAATCACTCCATCACTTAGTAGAGCTATGCAAGATGGTGCTGTAACCATCAGTTGGTTGAAACAGCCACCTGGTCTACAGATCACCTCGATATAGATGGGGAGAATTAACGATTAACTCAAATAGACACTAAATACTCATTACCAATTAGCAACATATATCGCATCGCATATTTTGCTCACTTCCACGATACCATTTACAGTGTCAAGGAGACCATAACTCAACGTCCAAATATGCTGAGTTTTCCCAAAAAGATTTTACTGAAATTTTATTTAGAACTGTGTACTGAGCAAAAAAAAACTAGTTAAATTTAATAATAATGATACTAAAATGTGTCTTTCATGAAATTTCGATTAATTTACCTAAGTGTTTTGATATTTAAAGAAGAAGAATAAAATAAATGACTTCTTGTGAGAAAGATTAGTAATCTTAAATTTAGGAAGTGCTAATAAATTATCATATTATAGTGAAGCAAATGTCTATTGCACTCATAAGCTGTAACTTTCTACAAAATATCAGTTGTTGTTGGTGTAGACAAGCACTGAACACGATGGTTAAAAGAATTAATGACTTTGGACTACTTCATTCCAGAATAAACTTAAATCATTATCAACCTATACAAGATTCAATAGGTGGTAGGCTAAAACACAAGCAAGCGAAATGAATTATTTCATTTTATGCATGCTGAGATAGGCACACAATTACAGGCTGTGTTAATTGGAAACACCAAATGAGAGAAATTTCAAAAATGGCGTACTGAACTGGAAAAATGTAACTTTTCAAACGAACATAAATGTGCAAAAGAATATGTAAAACACACATACACATCCAACGGAGAATTATAGCCATAATTTATGACTGTGAATGAAAAGATAACTACGAAGTCTGACTTTTACAGAGATGAGGTATAATTTGAATCAATAAGAAAAGTATTGCCTAAGGATAAATTGGAATTATTAAATTATAGAAAAAAAGAACATTAGGAAATTATTTCGTCAAACAATGTAAGGTACGTAATGGTTAGTGTATGGCAGTAAGAAAGGTGTATATTTCAGTGTAAAATGATAGGAGTCAATGCTCATGATGATTTCAAAACAAATACATTCACTTCCACCGTTTTTGAAGATGCGCCGAAAAGTATGAGACATTAAAGTACACTGAATCATGATCATGATTTATTGCATTTCTACAGTCTAGAGACACATATTGAAGCTTTTGCATGCTGATGTATGATAAGTAGTGTTAGAATTAGAAAAAGGCATATTATAATTAGTGCTTATTTGTGTACAGCTTGATCAACCGACTTTGGTATAAGCTCAATCAGCAAAGTTTATGATTAGTTATTGATTGAGATAAATTTAGGGTTCAATTTTCTTTTCTTACCTACAATCTTAGTTAGCGAATTTCACTTTCTAGTTTAGTAAACCAAAATAAAACAAGTCAGTAAATGAGACAGAAGTGGAAATTAAGCTATTTCGCATCTATTTTAAGACTATCCCATTCGAATGAAGAAACAAAACACCTGGTTTATGGCATTTAAAAAAAAATTTACTCATGAGGACAGTTTTATTTGGATTGAAGATGAGAAGTGTGCAATAGACACTTTTATTGATTAGTTGTATCGGTCATATAGATGACAGTCGTAACGGCTCTATATGATTTATTAAATACAAATTCTTGCATTACTACAACAAATGCAGTTGTGAGTTTAGTTTAATGAATGAATGTATAGTTAAGTTCACCAAACAATGTTAAACAGAAAAGTAAATTCACAAGTAAAGTTACCTTTGGTATTCGCGATCCCAATTCGGCATAACATAAGGCATTTAAAAAGGCAGTAACCCCAGCAACTAAATATGAGAGGAAAGTAGACGGACCAGATTTATCTCGGATTACGGTCCCCGTTAAAACATATATACCAGCTCCTGCCATATTGCCTGAAAGTTTTAATGAAGAATGATGTTTGTATATTACCTATTCCCAGAAGAGTTAGATCGAACGCAGTTAAACATCTCTTTAAAGGTGTATCCAAGCTGTCGCGTTCGAAACGGCGTGATCTTTTCATAGACTCCCATAATATTCTCAGGTGAGCTTTTGCTGCTTCCGTCATCGATAGATATTTGACAAACACCAATATGAAATCATCTGGTTAAGGGTTCTAAAATTAAGGAAGATGTTTCCATCAGATATTTCGCTTGAGTATGGGCGAATAGGTAAGACGGAAGAAACTGATTGGCTAGAAACAAAAGAACAATAACTAAACATAAAGACCAGAAATACAATTTGAAAAACAAAACTGAAAGTCAATAGTGCTTTAGATTAAAATAAAGTTGAACTTGTTATGGCTTTGTTTTTGTGAGCTGAAATTCATGGCGGGAATTCGTAATATGGTTCTACATTTTCCGTTGACAGTAGCTGTAAGTCGTTTTCACAGCTGTTTAAAGGAATATCTTTCGGGATTCTTTATTATATATCTTCCAGTATAATGCGCTTGTGCCTTCATTTCTGGTTTTCACGCAGCAATCTTGAAGACAAGAAACAAGTTACTGATAATGACCCACAGAAAAATACTCATTTTGAACTAGATATGTGTGCGACTTATAAATGGGTATAGAACCCGCGGCATATTGAATTTTCGCACACATTTATGTATTCACTTATTATTTCTAACTCCAAACTAAAGCTGTTGATGATACTGTAGTTTTGAAATAGTTATGCATTTAATATGGGCATATGTATGTATATGCATATATAAATATATTGATGTTGTAGTTGAGCAGGTTATTTATGTTCACCCGTTTTTCAGATTGACTGAGTTTGAACATGTAGCTCCCCTTTCTTGATGGCATTTGGTTTTTTTGATGGTTACGCCCTGATTGTTCACCATCAGCATAAGCAGTACGAACTTAAAGGAGTGATATTATTGGAACTGATGAAACAAAAGAACTTACTGAAGCCTATGGTAGTGAATTTATTTTTGAGTGTGTATGTGTAAGTTGTGCACCTTGTAAGCTTGACAACTTGAGGCTACTAGTGGGATGAGTTTCATATGTTATCTGTATCTGAATGAAGTATGGTGGCATGATATGAACAAGATGTAAGAAATGAATACTTATAGAAGACGTCAATATTTAAGATGTGTGTAGTTAGAAAGGTAAACAAAAGACAGCAAATAAATGTGTAAGTAAGCAACCATCAGACTTTGCTGTCAGCTAGTAGGAAGGCAGGTTGTCAACGCAGTCAGTTTTCATAGATATGCTGCCATCCTCTCACGATTCAGTGAGAGAAACTGTCACTATTCTACTTGGCTGGCACTCATACTTTTCAGGGGCAATCCAGTGTGATTACTCGTGCCATATTTCGACGAAATTGTCTCATTATGATTCCAATTTAGCTGGGAGTTTTTTTGGGCTACTTACAAGACGAATCATCTAATATCACTTAACCAGATAATCTCTTTTCCCACGACCACCGGATGCTATAGTTAAAGATCAAGTTGTACTATGACGTACGGAACACAAGTATCCCTCTTCTGTTCATCGTCTATTCTCATATCTTGTGCAGAAGGGAAATTAGATGAGGTCGCTGTTATAGAGGTCATGCAAGAGGTCCCTCAGAATTGTTGCTTACAATACTCTGGGGGACTGGTGATCGCAAAGCATGTGGACAAAACTGTCTAATTATATTTTTTTGGACCATGAATTCAAATTTCACTTAACATCAGATAAGATTTTGCAGACTTAGGTACCATGAGAAACAATACTGAATGCTTTAACTCCGCTAAGAAAGGTAGTGTCCATAAGCATTCAGTCGTTCTAGATCTTATTCAAGTTCTGATCACTGGAGAACCCACTCTAACGTCTGTATTGAGCAGTCTGTTTCTAGGTTTTCTAGAGTATGCAGACGTTGCTTTTTTGTTTGAGGAATGATAAAACACAATCTAAATTCTCGGTAATTTCATGAAAACGGCTTTTTTTCTATATCTAACATATGTTGTATTCAAATTCGCTACGTACGTTTGTACATTGGTCAATAGGAGGACTTAGCCAGAACCCTGGACAGCCTCACTATTGATGTGTGTCGAATTCCTATCAATCTCAATGACTTACATACCAGACATTAAAGTGCCTCAAGTACATTCATCTGTTATTACCGGTTTACTCTGTAGGCTTTGTATGAGACATGAAAAATTGGTTCGTGAAGCGCAGGTTTGGTTTCGTTCAGATTGTCCAGGTCAGCATCGATTGTTGCCTCACAACGTCGTCCCTTGACAATTATTGTCATCTTATGTATGGGTAGGCTGAAAAAGACTTAAGGGGTCAAGCGCAAATATGACACCAGTGCATAAAGTCATTGTTGGCTTGACTGCCTGAGTGGGGAGTTAAGAATCAGTGTTTATAGACTGTTGGTACCACGACTCGAGAGTTTTTGCAATGCCTGCACTGTGTTTAATCATTGGGGTCTTCCAGGTTCTGAAGACGCTTACCTCCTATTATTCTGTCGCTCCCATGGTAGTGCCACCACATTTACTTTCTCTGCTTTTGTGATTCTTTGAAGTATAGCAACTTGAACTACTGCACCTTTGTGTAAAGTTCTACATTAACAATTCAGTCAATTGGAGGGAGAAGAAAAAACTTGTCTCATGGCAAACAGACAGTAAGGTATTTGGTTTTATGATAAATCCTGAAATGAAAACGTGCTTTTAAACCACAGTATAACTGTGATAACCAAATTGGTGGCACAAATACAAATAATCTTTACCCTCACCCTGTGTGACCGATGCAGAAAATTATTTCGGACTTATTTTGGTTTCAAGGTAAAGGTTATTGGAGCAAAACAGACCAGGTACACTTTTTCTAAACACAGATTAAGTTGAAACTTTTCGGTACCAACTCTCTCAGTTATTTTTGTCTGTCTGTTTTCAACATAGAAATTTGCACCGATGTGCAGCAGTTCAAGTCGCCACACTCCATGCAGCTCAAAGCAAGAGTAGAAAGTAGAAGAAATGCAAAATACAGTAAACAGGGATACGAGACAAAAGGAATAGTAATATGGAAGAACAATATAGTCCTATTGGATATTATAAATCACAAGCAGTGGATGCATCTGCACCATTGAGAACGATTTTGAGCCATATCACCGATTGTTTCCAGCCATTGGTGTTTACCGTCCCGAGGACCCCAACCAGGAGGTTTACACCTCCTTACGTTGCTGGCTTAAACTAACCGTTGTGGATTTCATTAACTTATGAGGACATGTTTTGGTTTCACCACCAGTGGTTCTTTTCCAACCAGTCGACGAGACTGTGAAATTACATCGACTGAGATGGTTAGGACATGTGCTACGTGTGCCTAGTCATCGCCTTCCTCGACAATGAGCAATGTTAGCTGATATAGGGCCAGGCTGGAAAAGAGCTAGCGGTGGTCAAACGAAAACATGGCACCAGTCAATGAAACCTACAACAGTTAGTTTAAGCCACGTAGGAAGATGTAGACTTCCTAGTTGGGGTCCTCGGGACGGTAAAAACCAATGGTTGGAAACAATTGGTGACATGGCTCAGAATCGTTCTCATTGGCTCAGATGCATCCACTCCTTGTGACTCATGATTTCCTATGAAACTGTTTTGTTCTTCGTTATTACTATTCCTTTGTCTCACACCTCTGTTTACTGTCTCTAATATGCATTTCTCCTACTTTCTTCTCTTGCTTTGTGTGCTACATGGGAGGAGTGTGGCGACTTGAACTGGCGCACATCGGTGCAAAGTTCTATGTCGAAAACCGACCGACCGACTTTTCCAACCTGACCCTATGTCAGCTCACATTACCTGTCGTCGAGGAAGGCGATGGCTAGGAATGCATGCGTAACACATGTCCTAACCATCTCAGTCGATGTAACTTCACAGCCTCGTGGATTGATTTTCTCTCTTTACCTAGCACTCGACTGAGGCCTAACCTCAATATTGCTCACCCTATTATACCACTTCACATGGGAGATAGGACGCAGGCACCTATGATCAAAGACAGCCAGCCTTTTCATGTCCTCTACTATTAATGGCCATGTCTCACTCACAGTCATAAAGGAGGATGGAGCGGACTACTGAACAGTACACACGCCCTTTAGTCGATAGCCGGATATCACGTCTACGCCAGAGACGGCGTAAACTGGCATATGCGAAACTAGCCCTCTGTATCCGTGCTGAGATTTCGTCAGCAATCAACTCGCTGGAGCTGGCTGATGCAACTTCCCAAATAAGTGAAGTGGTCAACGTGCTCTACCATTTCACTTCCTATTTCTAAGCTAGGAGCCAATGTAGTCCAGTCCTTTAACATCATCTTACATTTGGTGGGAGCTAATCGCATATCTATTGCCTAGAAAACTGAGCTATCACTTTAAGTGAACTGGGAAGAGCTCACTTGTCAGTCTGATGTTTCGTATCTCCTTTATAAAACAATATTCAGCCTCTAATAAGCTTTAATATTAATTATCTCAACCTCTTTGAATATGGCCGTGAAAAGTGACAATGAGGTCGCCTAGTTGATATACATATACCTTCTCAGTAAATGCTGTCAGAAACCTATCGTTCTATTGAAACTATGTAAATGACATGTTTGTCCCGTACCACAATAACACCGACGCTGAAGGCCTTCCAGAAATAGTCAACATAGCTCATCCTCAAATTAAGTTCATCCGTGAAAAGAGGGACGATTGTTTATCATTTCTAGGTTGGCATAGAAAGAAGCTAAATGATAGTATTAAGCAGAGCATAAGCAGTCAGAGGTTGGTAAATATGCACACTCCATATCATTGCTTGCTATAGCATAAAAACAAAGTCTACTTATTACTTTGATGTATTGGTCAACATTTTTTCTAGTCTCAGTGCTTTGAAGCAAGAACAAAAACTTATCAGAGTAAAGGATTAACTGTCTCATTCGGTAAGCAGGAATGTACCTGGGGAAAAGTGAGTAAACTGTATTTAGCACTCATCAAAATAATCTAGATATGCATATAAAAGTGCACTGACTAGAGTTTGCTCATGACACAAAAGTGTAATATAAATATATATTGAAGTAAACCAGGAGGATTGAAATGCCAGTGGAATGCTTGGAACTAGTCAAAGATCCCAATATAGATAATAAAGGTATTCTAATTGGTTTATTTTTAAATTTTAGGCTGTATTGATCAGTGTTTTCAAATCTCCGTTCATAGCACTTACGAAACTGTATCGATATTTGAAACTTCAGCGGCATAACCAATTAATTTGCTTGCAAAGATGATACTCATCGCTCTTCTCTCTTTGGTGGTAGTATCAGTAACATAAATTAGCTGATGAGGACAAAATAAAATATGCCAACCCCATAAGCAGCATTCATAAAACAAATTTAACCCAAGGCACTACACATTTTGTCGAGTTATTTATTTCAAACATGCCTTTTCATTTTCATTCCTTCACAAAGATCCAGATCTTACAAGCAGTTTTTCCTTTAGGTTTTGTTAAGCTTAGACATAAACCACTTACTTAAAACGCTTGTATAGGAGTTCATCCTTTGAATTGTTGATATTAGATGGTTGGAGATAATCGGCAGGAAGTCTTGGACCTAGCTTTCGTGCTAGCTGGCACTCACCAGTCAGCAAGGCTTATCTGCAACCTTGAAGGAACTCATGTCCCTTCTTAGATTCGAACTCGTGTCACCCAGTGCAGCAGTCAGAAAACTAGGTCCAAGGCTTCCTGCCGATTATCTCAAACCATCTAAGATCAACAATTCAAAGTGCACTGTGATGGTAAGCCACCTGAACCACATTGCAAGCGTGACTGATAGAATTCAGTCTACAGCGAACAAAGGACTATACATATTACACTAGTTACTAATTAATGTCCAGTCAAAGAGTTCATCCGTTAGTTGTAAGACCATATTTTATATGCTATGTACGATTATTTTCTTTAGTGTTATGTTATTTCACTAGCTATAGGCGTGTCGCTAATTTAAAAAGTTCGAAAACAAATGAAAAGAAAACCTGTCTCTGTTAATCACTTGTCCTTTACTCCTTCCTATGCAACCCATATGCAGTTACGGGCTGAATGAATTTAATCAAACCACTTGAGATCAATAGATTTGTTTTTATCTGGATTGTCTTTGTACAAGTTGAATATCTTTGGTATAAGAAGATTCCTTTTAGCTACTAGTAGCAACTAACCCTTTTCAGCTAGCATTGTGTTTTGTAATTCGAATAAGACCACGACCTTTCCCTTGCTTGTGTTAACTTCCATCACTGGCATCATTGATAAGGTATTTGAAATTTGTACTCTGTTATGTTGGTTTGCAGAAGCTCATACTACATCTTTAACACCAGCACAAAGACGAAGTAGTGTTCTGCATTTAGATATCATTTTACCGAATTCACTCGGGTTTTCAGAAGCTACTACATACTAAATTCGGTTCACTGTTTAGTACAGAAACATGTCCCAAGTTTTTGATTTATATCACTTTTGCATGCTCAATATCAGAATGTTGTCCTACAATGTCTATTAACGTCTACCTACCTAATAAAGTGGATTTCTGAAGGAGCCAAGTTACTCTGTAATGATATCATCACGAAATTCATGTCATAAATGATTTTTATTAGCATACCATCAGTCACTTTCACCATTTGAATTGATGGACTTCTTACATAATGGTCCAGGGCACTAGAACTTTATTTAGTGCAGCATGTACCTCAGTTCCCGATGGCTTTTGAACATTTAAACTCCTGAATTAGGAAAAGTAGCACCTAGACACCTGTGAAAAGTAATTGAAAGAAGTGAGCAAACCTAAAATAATACCATAATGAATTAAAGAAAGGCAGTCAAATAATACCTAATTTTGATGTTATTGATCTCACGAACTATTTAGAAAGTATCACAGTTTTCCAAGCATTCAACCAAAAATCACGACAGCCTCAACCGTGTAACACAATTCTGAATTTATCCCGAATCTACAATCACAGACTTAATAAATCTATCCCATGTTTTGTTTCCTCCACTCCTAATTTTTTACGAACGTAATCTTGCCACTTCCAACCTTATTTATCGAAGAAATTATTGTCATAGCACGCTTCGTTCTGTGTTCTAGCAGTTTCAGTCGGTAACGATTCGTGTCCTCATCTAATGACATACTGAAGTACTCATTAGTTCCATTACAAACGTCAAAAATCCCGAGATTTTTCATGTCTTATGTTGGCTGGAGTCGTGTTTCAGTCGTAAAGTGGGTTAGAGCTAACTACCACACAGTCCAGTCGTCGTTTTAGAAGTAAGAGGATACCTTACGTATATCTACTGAGACATCACCAACCTCTGACCTATAAGTGTGTCTACTCAGCTTCTTAAACAAATAAGCTAGATAACATATTCAGTCAGTCGTGGGAACATATTCTGTCGTTTGACTAGGGGCAACATTGTGCCGAACATAATTTAAATTCTGTGAATCGGCGGCCAACGTCACTTTCATGAAACAGACTAAAAATTATTCATGTGAAAATGACTGTACAACCTGATCGAATAAGTATTAGCACTTGTGATAAAATTCGATTTTATTCAACATTTGTGGGTTCTTAATGTGTCAGGTGAAACTATGGCTGACAGTTCTCATTCTCATTTAGTGGTGTTTTCAGACAAATTCACTATTTATTTTCTGAAAAGGTATAGTGTCTGGAACCAACACTGAATTCTTTAAAGTTACGCTTTGTCTGAGTTATTATGATTATACAGAATTTTTCATTTTAACTTTGTACCATTTTTGAATTTATGGATTTTTTTTTGCTGTCATTATTATTTGTTTAGTTAATACACAAATGTTTATCTATGTTATTTACACACATACATTATCAGTATAATGCTTAGCGCTATTCTATAGCTGCTCAAGTTGACCCAGTTCATAAGTGCAGATTAAGCAGCAGTCGTAAGAAAGACAAAAAAGATTATGTAAGCCGAAGTCATAGAATGTCATAAAACAAAAGAAGAAAGAAGGAAATCATTGTGTCAGTGAATCATGAGTGTATGTGCTGTATCGCAATCGATTCAGAGTCAGTGTTAATCCACTGTTCATCCAATAATTTATTAGTCTTTGTGTGTTAATTATTTCACTGGTCATTTGTGTTTTTGTATTTTTTTTAGGAAATTCCATAGTCATTATTTTGTGTGCAGTGTGTGTTCTAATCCAATGTATAAAATGCTGTCTACTTGTTAACTTGTAAAAATTACTGCCTTTATACTTTAAACGGAGCACTTGCAACCACTTGTTTGCATCAAAAGGTATTGTTTATTTCTAATTGTGTCCCCAGTGTATAACGGTTGAAGACTGTTTCCTAAAAACAATAGCTAATATGAATATTTTATTCTAGATGTCTCCCAATAAACAGGAAGTGTCTAAGACAACAGCTGTTTCTTCTGCTGGATATGAAGTAACTAGAAGTTTCAGGAATCTCGGTGAACCGGTTTATGTCAATGTGTATCATTTAGTGAGTAATTCGTATTATTATGTCATACTTTAATTTACTTAGCATTGGCCTAACGGATTAAAAATGGGTGCATATCATACGGGTACTGTTGTCTACGACAGGGGTATGTAATTGATACATATATTTTCATATTTTTTCCTTTTCGTTCACCCAGAATTCGGTTTTGGTGGACATCCATTCGCCAGTAGTGGTATTTTTCAAACTACACCAATGGATATTGATAACTTAGGTGAGGAAATCTCTTTCAAGTAAGTATCAATGAGAATTATCGATATACCTTTTATTATGATAGTTTAACTGATAACGATAATTGTCGCCAACTTAGTACTTGTAGAAGTCACAAAGGGTTAAACTAAGAAGAATAAGAATATGTTATTTGCCTGATTGAAGTGAAGTTTGGGATACAATTTACTGCACATTATAAAATAGTTTCCACACTTATGTCGTTATATGTCTGTGAAAACAGTGTTGTATCTGTTTTATTTCACATATGTGGTGTTTGTTCAGCATACTGTTATTACTTTATAATCTCTGACACTTTTTATTTTCTTCACTGGAATAAGTCAGCTGGTGTCTTAATTTCTAATGGAGATGGCTATGTCGAGATTTTTCTTATCAGAAGTTGTGGTTGGCTAAAAGTAGATTACATTATGTTAGGTTAAAGTGTATTTAGTCTATAGGAAATATTTCACCATATACATGTTGGTATTCCAGGTGCTTCATATCATCACGCGGAAGCTTTTACACCAAAATTTTCAGCTCACAGAACACTCCCATCGGTTTCCTGAATCATATATTTTTACAAGTATAAAAATGATACGTTGAAAATTGTATGAATTCCTGTCGAAATTTATATGAGTCTCAAAAACGTATATATGTAGTTATTAAGTTGATGATAATCTATATGCATTATAATTTTCAGCTACCAGTACTCTATCCACTTTCTGTCTGTTTATTTATCTATTGTGTTTCATCGTTATTAGAGACGTAGCTACCGTTTTGTGCGACCTCAAGTGATAGTTTTGTCGATTTATAGATTTTGTAACGAATCAAAAATCAGGGAGTATTGCTCAAGTGTTTCGTCCTCCTTCTTTGGGATTCTTCAGAAGTACTCACCCATAACTCCACTGGGATTGAACCCGTGACCTCTAAGTTATGGAGACAACCTCTTGACACTTCAGTCGCTGGGTTGGAATCCAGTGACCGGTGAATTCATATATCTGTCATTTTATAGTATAGGGCTACCACCAAGCAGTGTCATTGATTAACGTTCGCTTATTTCAACTGGTCACAACTCATTACAACATCCTGACATCTTTCCTATAGGCACTAACAAGCTGCAGAGTGATATGTAGATGTTTGGGTTTTTGTAGGAATTTTAACTAATTTCAATGTAGATTTCATTACGAACCAACATCAGATTGTTTATCCTTTTACACTTATTGCTTTTTCAATTAAGGGAAAGGCTGTATATGGGTCGGACTTATCTATCAAAGAAAGCAGTGGAGCGGCTGCTTGTAAGTTTGGCTGATGAATTCCGTGGTGATGCCTATCATCTGCTTCATTTCAACTGCAATCATTTCACTTCACAGTTTGTTGATGTAAGTATTCTATTGCACTTTCTTTCATTTACTAAATATCAAAATTTACTCACTATGCTTTTGTTCCCAAATGTTTGAAATAATTGTTTCAGCTTATGCTGGAATTTGTTTATTTGCTGTTTTTCGTTGGTAGTTGATTTGTGTCATCTCCAGTGTAGACGTGATATCTGACTATCGATCAAAAGATGTGTGTAATGTGCAGCAGTTCACTTTGTCCTGCTTTATGGCTGTCAGGCATGGTCACTAAAAGTGGAGGACTAGCTGTCTTTGACTACAGATGTTTACGTTCTATCTCTCCTGTTGCGATATAATATGGTGATCAGTAATATTGAGGTTAGGCGTAGAGTGTTAGGTAAGGAGGTAAAGTAAATCGATAAGCTTTTGAAGCTGCACCGATTAAGATGCCTAGGACACACGTGTTATGTGTGTGGAGGCACTGTCTCCCTCGTTGAGCAATGTTCAACGAGAAGTGGCTCAAAGTCGTTCTCAATGGCGCAGATGCATCCACTCCTTGTGATTTATAATACCCAATAAAATTATATTGTTCTTCCATATTACTATTGTTTTTGCCTCATAATTCTGTTTATTATCTCTGTTTTGAATCTGTCTTTACTCTCTTCTCTTGCTTTGTGTGATACATGGAGGGAGAGTGGCAACTCGAACTGCTGCACATCAGTGCAAAGTTATACGTTGAAACCAGTGAGCAATGTTATCTGACATAGAATTCCATTGGAAAAGAATTGGGGTGGTCAAACCTAAACCTGTTGTCAATCCATGAAGTCTCTAACAGTTGGTTTAAGCCACGTAAGGAGGTGTAGACAGCCTGGTTGGGGTTCTCGAGGTACTAAAAACCCAGTGGCTTGAGACTTTTGGTGCTACAGCTCAAAATTGTTTCTGGTGACACAGATGCATTCATTCTTTACGATCTCCTAGTGTTCTCTCATGCTATTATTCTTTCCAACTAAACTTGAAATCACGGAATATACACATTTGATCATAGGATAAAACATGCACAAATTTTCTTTCATCAAGGCATCCCATTAATTTTTTAGTTTATTGTGATTGCGACTGTCTTTAACATTTAGCCTATTTCTTTTTTCACAAGGTTTCATATTCATTCATTTCAGCGCCATAACTGTATGCATCTGGTCTTTTTGTGATGTAATGAAGTTACTTGACATACGAAATTCCTTGACATAACTTACTTTCTATTTAGGACTGATAGAAAACCCCATTTCATAATTGGCTAATGAGTTTAATTTTCGTACTATTTTGTGTGGTGTATACTTAAGGCACATATAAATTAGTTGTCTGACGAGACTTAGCTAACTGGTATGACTTTTATACTGCATAATGTGTAAATTAAAAGCAAATTCGTCGACTTGTAACTTTAAGTTTCTAATAATCTGCGGCAGCTTTAAATGAGTAGTCATTCGATGTAGTAGGTCATGATCGAAATTGGGATGTAGATCTTGCGTTATTGAAGGATTTAAACAACAACATCTATCAGATTATAGCACCCTAGCGGACTAAGCTCACAGGCGTACATACTATAACCATGTCTTGATATTATACCTCAACCACTGTGGTTAATGTATTTTACTAACATTACAGTTTTTAAATAACAAGTGGTAGTTAAATAGTAGATTACTGGGTTTTTTTCACAAATTGACGATTCTCTGTCGGTACGTGTAAAGAAATTTGTTAATTTATGAAAAAAATAATAAACGAAATCACCATGTGATTAATATATTAAACCTGGGGTTTGTCGCTCGATAAATTTATTATTAAATAATGTTGGTTTTATACCTCATTACCAAGCATCGCTAATTTTATCTTTACAAGCATAACATAGCGAGCTTACTGTTTGTATGTGTATTTTTTGAGCACTGATAAAGTATTACTAATTTCCAAAGTAGCAGTTAATATAGAACGATGATAATTAACTAGTTCTCTTTTAGTGAATAAAACAGTTACAATTATTTGCCACGATCTTATAAAGAGCATAGTGAGTACTGTCTATCTTATTACTCTCGACCATAAGTACTTCGCAGGCTGTTTTGAAGAAATTATTATTTAGGCTTTGAATTAAAAGGGATGGCATGTTAGGTGGAATTTCGGCCTATATGCTCATGCGTTAGTCTTCCAGCTAATTCTCATCAAGCCACAACCACACTTCTGGCAATTAGAGGTAGTATTTTATGCTTTCTGACATTAAGTATGGCTCGGTAACCATATTGATTGGCATTGAGTCATACCAGTTGTGTTAGGTCTGGTGATATTACCTGGCCAACCAAAACTCACTAGCCAATAACCTTACTTTTGAGTCTATCACAAATCATGCCTTTGTCCTTCTCTCTACAAAAGGGCGTTTGATCTGTTTTACTATACGGTGTTGAACACATGGCTGTTGAATGCAGAAACACACTATAAGTAACTTTGTTTCTTTGCTTACGCTAGCTAAGTGGTGCAGCATTATAAGTAATCATTGAGCTAGACTTAGTGGGTTAGGTTTGGAGCGAAAGCTTATCGACAAGATTGTTAAGCTCCATTGATTAAAGTGTTTAAAAAGTGTGTTACACATTCCGATGCACCACTGAAATAATTTTTTGGGTAGAAAAAATTTCGTGGTGGTCAGATCAGAATATGATACTTACCCATGAAGTCATCGGTTGTTGGTCGGAGTCTCCATAGGAAGATGTAGATCACCTGGCTTCCATTCAGGAAATGTTAAAAATAAGTGGTTAAACTCTTTGTGAAACGAATCGAAATCATCGGCGCGAATCTTTATTCTCTCCTTCATTTTTGTTCGTTTTGACTTCATTGTATTTCTTCCTTATCTATTTTTGTGTGCTTTCTAAATTCTCTTACGTTGCATCCATACACAGTCGTTATGCTTTGTAATGAAGCATGCAATCAGGCCTAGTCAAAATGCTTTTTTTTCATTCCGTATATATACACCTTGGTGTGACGACTACCGACAGATCCGGTATATGTGTCCAGGGATCCCTTTGGATGAAATCTTATCCGCTGACCATCATGAACGCTTGGTTATAATCTAGCACAAACTGTTTCTGTCGAATATCTATTCCCTAGTACTCATGGTAATGCTTTATTATTATCGTTATACTGAATTATATTCTTAGTGATTTTCTGTATTCATTGTTGTTAAGAATCAGTCATTTGGAAACTTTAGAGAAAAGTGAATTCTCTTGCACAAGTTACTAAGTTGTATTTACACAACGTTTTCTCTCAAACAAATATCGTGTGCAAATCGAAAAAGAAGGAATTATCGATACTACATGGTTGTTTTTCTACACACATTCACATAATTAAGCAAACTGTTTTATATAATAGTCGTTACCAGAACTGTTTGGTTCTTACAAGTCAGTTTATCTGTCATCCAGTGTATTTATCTATATATGCACACCACTAAGTTTAATCACCACATACAGCTTTTTTTCGGTAATGAAATCGATTGGAAACTATGCAGTACTGATTATTTTCCAGGGGTTTTCTGTTTTGGTGTCGTTGAGTTGTAGTATATGCAAATGTTCAATTCAGTCAATCACCGATTCATTCTAAAATATATAATAATGTCTAATGCACTTCGAATTCTCCTGTTCCATTTCATGACTTGTATGAGTGAAATTTATGCTATGTTGAAATTGAGCGAGATGAAATAAATTATGGAGAATGGAAATTAATTAGCGAGAAAATATTCCAGAAGTTTCGCTAGTTAATGTTTCCTCTAATTTTTTTCCAAGGAACTAACCACTACAGTCGATCCTCATATTCACTGAACAGACGGAGTTTGGGTAGCAACTGACAGCTATGTTATTCTATGTCATGACCCCCCCCCCTCCTCGAACCCCAGAGACATACTGTCTTGTGATTAGTGTTTTGGTCACTAATTGTTTATCGTCATTTCAACAGAAACAGCTTCACAACACTTCACTTCTTCTTAACTTGTGTGTATACGCAGTTCATTCCCTTTGATTTATTGAACCAATTTTATCGTCTGCCTTCTTTATACGAACTGCTTGAAAGAAGATGTCGCATTTCACCGTTATGCTGCTGACTGACAATAAGATCCCAGACATAGGTACGAGCTACTTGTTCTCGATGATTGACTGTACCTGCCCACTACCCACTAAGAGTTAACTTCTCTACCTGTCTGTCATTGCAAGCACCGATATCATTCAGTTCGGTTCAGTGAAGTTAATGGGGATTTCTTAGCATTAGCAGACAACAAGAAATAATCCTTGTGGGATAGTATTTAACTCAATGATCTTCGTGTTTTTTAAATAGTGATTGATAATTCTTGTTAGATACATTATAACTTAGTCAGATGCGAGCATTTCCCAGATTTCCCTACAAGTCATCATTAAAAGAACCATATTGTTAAGATAAAACACCTTCCGCTTCCATTGGAATTAACTACATCATAGTGTTTGAGCTGAATATTTCAAAGGCTGAAATCAACTAAAATATTGCCGTTCATTTATTCACTCAAAGCTCTCTCATGAATACCGTCAATTATGATGATAAGAAGATAAGATAGCAATCAAATTTCAATTGTGTGATTTACACATCAAGTGCTCAAGTATCACTACTAAATGTTGCTTTATTTAAATTATTCGAAAATTCATTATTGATTTACTTTTTTTTTAATGATTGAAATCAGGATAAACCTTTGTGACCTACAAAACGCTGTGTGTATGTGTATATGTGTTTTCTAAATATTTTAGATTATTTCACTCAAATATTTTTATAAACATTAATACATTTTGATGTGTGCGTGTGTGTGTGTGCTGAGAACAGTATTCATGAAGCTTGTGAACTTTATTCTAACTGTTACTAGTACCAATAAATGATCGTTATTACCAATTAATTTATAAAGTAGTATTAGTAGTAGTAATTATAATAACGATGATAAAGTATTTCTAATATTCCATAGTGCTTAATTTGTGTATGCCTGAAGCATTTTTTTCTTGTTT